GAGTTATAAACATTTATATGAAAAAACACGTAAAAAATGACTGACACATGACTTTGTTTGAATTTTACTACCCCTTACTATCAATATTTTCGCATTTGGGCATTAGCGTATAGTTAACAAGCTATGATTCCGTGTTTCTGGCGGTGGTTTCGTCTCGATCGGAACAGCGGTTTTGAAGATATCGCCAAGTGTTTTTTTTCGCGCTAAATCGCTACGCTACACCAACCGTAACACGAAACCCAGCATGTTTAGTACCGTTGGACTCGGCAACGATTCAGGACCTCAAAAATATGACTCCCGTGAAAATAAGTGTACCACACCCAAAGTTATAAGCGTTTGAAAAAAAAATTCACCACTAGGTGGCGCTGTTTCGAAACTTCTCAGGCTTCTTCAGGGCATCGTACTGATGACCCATACCGAGTTTCGTAACAATTCGTTCATGCGTTCAAAAAATACAGCATTTTAGCACATAATTCAAAATGGCCGACAGCCAAAATGGCCGATCTGGGAAAATTGGATATCGGTCGACTCGGCATGATGCCCTGAATCTAACGAGATGAAGTTTATGATTTTTGGACAAACCGTTCAGAAGTTACGAGCAAAAATAGCCATTTTTCATATCTCCGGACCACTAGGTGGCGCTGCGCCGAAACGCTGCATGTAGCCTCAGGTCATGCTTGTGATTACATGTACCAAGTTTGGTCTGAATAGGATGAAGCGTTGCGGAGATACAGCCTCACGTCTGTTTTCGCAAGCGCTACGTAAAATTAGTTTGCGCGTTTATCGAAAACGGTTATTCGAATCATCTTGAATTCCATAACTTTTTGTCAGCACTGCCTGGAGATGATCCGGTGCGATTTTGGTGAAAATCGGACAAACCGTCTAGGACGAGTTCGCAAAAGTAGGTTTTTTAGAAAATTCAAAATGGCGGCCGTTTTTTTATGACGGAAAATGACGTCATAGGGTGCGATCGAATCGGCATGAGCTCAGGAACAAGAGGAAAAAAGAATTTTGTTGATAGGCCTTACGGTTCAAAAGTTATTAGCATAATAAAAGTGAAACTTTGGACAGTTGGTGGCGCTAGAGGGAATGAGTTAGAGACACCAAAATTGGTGTATTTAAAGTTGGGACTGTCCTCTATCAGAATGTCAAACCAAAACAACTTTCCCGCAAACCGGTCTATGGGCTGCCATAGACGCCCAGTCGGAAGAAGAATAATAATAATAAATATAGCTGCAAGCAGCCATTACCGGGGCCAAGCGCAAGAAGCGGCAACATATGCCAAAATGGCAAGGAGTGGCAGACCAACTGCAGCAAGGAGCAATTAAGGGCATTTTGAGAGAACTTTGGGCAAATGGCTAAAAAAATCACATAAACATTAACTTATAAGATGATTTAATGGGTTATCACTTTCGAACAATAGGTGGCGCAGTTACGAAATAGATGTGATGTGGTCAGAGGGAGGTGACAATGACACATGCAAAGTTTGGTGTCAAAATGTGAAGGCATTGCAGAGATAAAGCCTAAATAGTAATTTTGGCAGCATGCCTAAATTTTGATGCTGTGTTATACGAAAACGGTTTTGTCTATCATCGTGCAATTCATAACTTTTAGTCGGCACGGTCTGGAGATGATGCGATTAAATTTTCGTGAAAATCGGACAAACGGTCTAGGAGGAGTTCGAAAAAGAAGGCTTTTCAAAGAAATAAAGATGGCGGACAGGAAGTTTGGCTGATTATGCAAAACCTGATATCTATGTTTTCGGCATAACCCAAGGAATCTATTAAGATCAGTTTCATTGCAATAGGCAAATTTATTCAAAAGTTATTAGCGTTCTCAGAAATTAATTATAACTTTTGACCAACAGGTGGCGCTGTCTCAAAATCTTTTGAGTACCTTCAGGGCATGCTGCTTATGGCACACACTGAGTTTCGTAATGTTAGACCAAAGCATTTGTTTAGTATAGCATTGTATTTCACAAAACTGTATTGAAGTCAATGGGAATTTCACGTTTTGTTCTATTATAGCGCCACCAAGAGGCTCAGTCCCACAATTTTTTTTTATGTGTCCTCAGAGTGACCCCATACATATGTGTGTCAATTTTGGTGCAAATATCTCAATTTACTTCCGAGTTATAAACATTTATATGAAAAAACACGTAAAAAATGACTGACACATGACTTTGTTTGAATTTTACTACCCCTTACTATCAATATTTACGCATTTGGGCATTGGCGTATAGTTAACAAGCTATGATTCCGTGTTTCTGGCGGTGGTTTCGTCTCGATCGGAACAGCGGTTTTGAAGATATCGCCAAGTGTTTTTTTCGCGCTAAATCGCTACGCTACGCCATCCGTGAGACGAAACCCGACATATTTGGTATCGTTGGACTCGGCAACGATTCAGGACCTCAAAAATATGACTCCCGTGAAAATAAGTGTACCACACCCAAAGTTATAAGCGTTTGAAAAAAAAAATTCTCCACTAGGTGGCGCTGTTTTGAAACTTCTCAGGCTCCTTTAGGGCATCGTACTGATGACCCATACCGAGTTTCGTAACAATTCGTTCATGCGTTCAAAAAATACAGCATTTTAGCACATAATTCAAAATGGCCGACAGCCAAAATGGCCGATCTGGGAAAATTGGATATCGGTCGACTCAGCATGACGCCCTGAATCTAACGAGACCAAGTTTTTGATTTTTGGAGAAACCGTTCAGAAGTTACGACCAAAAATAGCCATTTTTCATATCTCCGGACCACTAGGTGGCGCTGCGCCGAAACGCTGCATGTAGCCTCAGGTCATGCTTGTGATTACATGTACCAAGTTTGGTCTGAATAGGATGAAGCGTTGCGGAGATACAGCCTCACGTCTGTTTTTGCAAGCGCTACGTAAAATTAGTTTGCGTGTTTTTCAAAAACGGTTATTCGAATCATCTTGAATTCCATAACTTTTTGTCAGCACTGCCTGGAGATGATCCGGTGCGATTTTGGTGAAAATCGGACAAATCGTCTAGGACGAGTTCGCAAAAGTAGGTTTTTTGGAAAATTCAAAATGGCGGCCATTTTTTTATGACGGAAAATGACGTCATAGGGTGCGATCGAATCGCCATGAGCTCAGAAACAAGAGGAAAAAAGAATTTTGTTGATAGGCCTTACGGTTCAAAAGTTATTAGCATAATAAAAGTGAAACTTTGGACAGTTGGTGGCGCTAGAGGGAATGCGTTAGAGACACCAAAATTGGTGTATTTAAAGTTGGGACTGTCCTCTATCAGAATGTCAAACCAAAACAACTTTCCCGCAAACCGGTCTATGGGCTGCCATAGACGCCCAGTCGGAAGAAGAATAATAATAATAATAATAATAATAAGAACCGGCACAGATACAATAGGTGCCTCCGCACCTTCGGTGCTTGGCCCCTAATAATAGGAACCGGAACAGATACAATAGGTGCCTCCGCACCTTCGGTGCTTGGCCCCTAATAATAATAATAAGAACCGGCACAGATACAATAGGTGCCTCCGCACCTTCGGTGCTTGGCCCCTAATAATAATAAGAACCGGCACAGATACAATAGGTGCCTCCGCACCTTCGGTGCTTGGCCCCTAATAATAATAAGAACCGGCACAGATACAATAGGTGCCTCCGCACCTTCGGTGCTTGGCCCCTAATAATAATAATAATAATAAGAACCGGCACAGATACAATAGGTGCCTCCGCACCTTCGGTGCTTGGCCCCTAATAATAAGAACCGGCACAGATACAAAAGGTGCCTCCGCACCTTCGGTGCTTGGCCCCTAATAAAGAACCGGCACAGATACAATAGGTGCCTCCGCACCTTCGGTGCTTGGCCCCTAATAATAATAATAAGAACCGGCACAGATACAATAGGTGCCTCCGCACCTTCGGTGCTTGGCCCCTAATAATAGGAACCGGCACAGATACAATAGGTGCCTCCGCACCTTCGGTGCTTGGCCCCTAAAAATTGTGTTTGCATTTATATAGCCTCTAATAGCATAAAATTCAGAAACTGAGAAAATACAAGTGTGGACTAACGTTAGTTGTGCTATGATTCATTTTGTCACTTTGCAAACTCCATGCAAAAAGAACAAAAAAATAAAATAAGTGGTACCATGATAGGATGCCACCTTTGCAAGTAGTCAGTTTGTGAAATTTCATCCCTGCTAGATATTCCATGGGTATTATTGGAAAGTGGAAGCGTTTAGGAACAGCAAGCAACTCCATGAAGCAGAAAACCACGTAAAGTCAAAGGCGAATTGAGTGTAAAAATCGCCAACGCTCCAGAGTTGAAGAGATCCAAACCTCCACTGGCATTAATATCAGCTCAAGAACAGTGCGTAAGGGGTGTGTCATAGTGATGACGCTCGTGCCATCGCGCGACTCTGTTGCTCTTAGAAGAAAGTTTGTGTTCGTCATCAAAGAAAGGACGAACAAATGTCTCCAAACTGGACCGAAGCAGAGACCAGGAGCTCCTCACTATCAGCGCTGATGCTGAGATCGTTCACCAGCTTTGTGGAACGGTATGCGCGTGTACATGTTTTCGACGCGTACGTTACACGTCTCACGTGCCTTTCCGGATCTTTACGGGTTGTGTGTGAACGCACTCACAGATCTCGGCAAATCACTGGCAGTGTGAATGAACCGAAATCAAACAATCCCGGGACAAATGCCAGTTCGCATTATCCGTGTATTTTCCGGTATCTCTGTGTGAAAGGGGCTAGAGAATGACCTGTTGGGGTAATGGTCAGGTGTCCCAGTATTTTTGTCTATATATTGTAAATGAGAATATATGTATTGTATACCATAAATGGGATATAGGTAATATGGGAAATACTCAAAAGTTAATACAGAAATGAAGATTTGTTCTTTATTGCATTTAGAACTATTGCGAAAAGGCATGACATGAAAATATTGACATGAACATTCATATTTGGTTATATGATTCAATGGCAACTAACTACTTTATCTCAATGCACAAATCATGTTTCATCATTGTGTCTCTTGTGTCTTTGTACAGTGTCCAAAACCAGTGATTGTGGCTGTTCACGGTGGATGTATAGGAGGAGGTTAGTTTCCCTCTGTTTAGAAATTTCATTCTATTTAACATTCTATACTTTATTGAGAATATATATATATATATAACACATTCATTATAAAACAGATTTCTTAGTACTATTTGATGTTGAAGCAATTAGTATTTGTACCATATTTTATTTATTAATATTACTGTAGTTTTTATAGCTTGCTATAATTATGACAGACATTAAAATGTCTTTAACTATGGAGTTATTGATATGTTTGACTTTTGCATGCAGTGTCTTTGTCCAAGGCACCATCATTTTTTTATGAGAACAGTTACATGTGCAAAAAAGAAATATGGCCAGCAATGTTCAATAAGCATTGAGTAGTTACAGTATTAAACAAGAATATCTTACCAAGCCAAAATTTGTTGGCCTTTTGGACAAATGACCTCAAAGACAGTAATGTAATGATACAGACACAAGTAATTCATATAATTCATTAATATGACCTCAACTTGAACAACTTTGTACTAGTGAAGTTACAGTAGTTTCTGGTTTCACCAGATAGCAAATGATTCTTCGTAACCACATATACAGTAAATGTTATCATTACATTGTGTCTTCTTTTACAGGAGTGGACTTGATCACAGCATGTGATATACGACTGTGTACGCAGGATGCCTGGTTTCAGATCAAGGTGTGCTCAGTCTCATTAGATTGTCATTGTGATTTCAACTGACCATTTAATACTATATTAGAATAAACTTAGATTTGCTGAAATGTAAATTTGAATGGCTGATTTGATCACCCTTTCCTGTTCAGGAGGTTGACATTGGTTTGGCAGCTGATGTCGGGACTTTGCAACGTCTCCCCAAAGTGATTGGAAGTCGGAGGTACTATCTTGATCTTAAAGCGTGTTATAGATCCAGTAGCAGTGCCCTGTTTTTATGTAATTGACTGTAAAGTTTGCTCCCACTGTCTTTCAGTCTAGTAAATGAGTTGGCTTTCACTGCAAGGAAGATGCATGCTGATGAAGCCAAGAGCTGTGGATTGGTCAGGTGAGATATTTAACTAATAAGATATGAGATGATGTGCTATTTTGAATTTTGAATTTATACGTTCACAATATAGTGATAAGTGATTTAAAATAAAAACGTTCCTACTGTAGATTTAAGGACCTGTAATGATTAGCTATCCTCTTCACATATGGAAAGAGTGAACACAATTACACTCATCGGCCATATTACTAGGTCCACCTGTTCAACTGCTCATTAACGTAAAACATCTAATCAGCCAATCACATGACCTCAACTCAATGCATTTAAACATGTTCAAGACAATCGGCTAAATTTAAAAACTGAGCATCAGAATGGGAAAACGGTGATTTAAGTGACTTTGAACGTGGCCTGGTTGTTGGTCCGGGTATTTTAGAAACTGCTGGTCTGCACAACACATCAAACCTTGAAGCAGAACAGCATCTCTGAACACTCAACACATCAAACATTGAAGCAGAAGAGCATCTCTGAACACTCAACACAACATACCTTGAAGCACAAGAGCATCTCTGAACACTCAACACATCAAATCTTGAAGCAGAAGAGCATCTCTGAACACTCGACTCAACATATCAAACCTTGAAGCAGAAGAGCATCTCTGAACACTCAACTCATCAAACCTGGAAGCAGAAGAGCATCTCTGAACACTCAACACATCAAACCTTGAAGCAGAAGAGCATCTGTGAACACTCAACACATCAAACCTTGAAGCAGAAGAGCATCTGTGAACACTCAACACGTCAAACCTTGAAGCAGAAGAGCATCTCTGAACACTCAACACATCAAACCTTTAAGCAGAAGAGCATCTCTGAACACTCAACACGTCAAACCTTGAAGCAGAAAAGCATCTCTGAACACTCGACTCATCAAACCTTGAAGCAGAAGAGCATCTCTGAACACTCAACACATCAAACCTTGAAGCAGAAGAGCATCTCTGAACACTCAACACGTCAAACCTTGAAGCAGAAAAGCATCTCTGAACACTCAACACATCAAACCTTGAAGCAGAAGAGCATCTCTGATGTTACGTTCCGGCTCCAGGAAGTAACAAAATAAAGGGAACAGAGTCCAAAAAATATATTTAAACAAAATATATTTAATTAAGTCCAGGGGATAAATAATAAAGAAAAGAAGCTTTCAACAGTAAATAAACAAACAATAAAGAAATAACAATAGAAGGTCCAGCTCCTGATGGGAACAGCTACAGGATGGATCAGAGCTCCCTTCCACAAAGGCCAGCCATCTTAAATAATAATTTCTAAATTGCAGACAGGTGTAGATCCTTATCTGGCAACCTATAAAAGAAAAGAAAGGACAGCAGAACAAATCCAAAACAAACCGTAACACCTCCCCCCTTAAAAAAGGGAGAGATTCTAATTAGAAACTCTACCTTTCACTATTTTCAACCCCAAAACACACATATGCTATGGGAAATGAACAATAAAAAACAACCTTACCGGAATTCGTATTGATCAATAACCATTATTACCTCCCCAAACTCTACACAACTCTTGGTTTCAAAACCAGCAATCTCCCGGCGCCTGGAAAAAGCACAATTAAGGAATTGAAAACCAATAAAAGGAAGGAGAGAGAGAGAAAACAAATGGTTAAGAAACTTATTCTACACCACATGGGGCCCGGGACAAGGCGTCAGCTAAGATATTATCTACACCTTTCACATGACGAATCTCCAAAGCATAAGGCTGTAAGAAAAGAGACCACCTAATAAGACGCTGATTAGGGTTCTGCAGAGAGTGAAGAAATGTAAGGGGGTTATGGTCTGTGTATACCACAGTTGGCATAGTCCCACAAGACACATACACCTCAAAATATTGCAGGGACCAAATCAACGCTAATGCCTCTTTCTCAATTGTAGAATAATTGATTTGATATGAATTGAATTTACGTGAAAAATAGCTGACAGGGCGATCTATACCATTTTCATCCGCCTGCAATAGAACAGCTCCAGCTCCAATCTGACTAGCATCCACCTGAAGTTTAAATGGTTTATCAAGTCGTGGAGCTGTCAGGACAGGGGACGATGTGAGCAATCGTTTAACATTCTCAAAGGCGTCTTCACATTTTGGAGTCCACACAAATTTAGCCTTTGCTTGCAACAAATCTGTAAGCGGGGCAACAACAGAAGAAAAGTTTGGGCAAAAACTCCTGTAATACCCAGCCATTCCTAGAAATCTCATCAATTCCCGCTTAGTCTGAGGGCTAGGAAATTTGTCAATCGCCATGACCTTAGCGCGTACAGGTCGCACTTTGCCCATTCCAACAACTTTGCCCAGATAAGTCACAGTCGCCCTGGCAAACTCACACTTTGCCAGGTTGACTGTGAGTTTGGCATCAGATAAACGCTTAAAAAGTGCACGAATTCGGATAAGATGTTGATCCCATGTGTCACTGTAGACAACAATGTCATCCAAATATACGGCACAACCCTCTAATCCAGCAGTCACTCTGTTCATTAAACGCTGAAATGTAGCTGGAGCATTTCTGAGACCAAAACTCATTACGGTGTAAGAATATAATCCAAAGGGAGTAATGAAAGAAGAAATTTCCTGTGCTCGAGCAGTCAAAGGCACTTGCCAGTAGCCTTTGAGCAAATCAAATTTACTGACATAGTTAGCTGATCCAACTTGGTCAACGCAGTCTTCCATTCTAGGCAATGGATAAGAGTCAGGTTTAGTATTTACTCGTCTATAATCAGTGCAAAAACGCTGAGTGCCGTCTGGTTTTCCCACTAACAAACAAGGCGAAGCCCAATCTGAAAAGGAAGGCTTTGCTATGTTGTTTTCAAGCATGTAATTTACTTCAGCCTCCAATTTCTGACGTTTATCAAATGATACACGATAAAATCGTTGTCGGACAGGTTTAACGTCGCCTACATCAATATCGTGTTCAATCAAGTGCGTACGAGAAGGAGTATCTGAAAAGAGAACAGAGAATTCTGTTAGTATTGAATTTAACTCAGAGTGTTGTTTGCAAGATAAGTGTTTTACCCATCCTTCTAGATTAGCCAATGTCTCAGAGTTCTTTAGACGAGGTTGTAAAATGACATCATCAGGGGATTTCACATCCAGTGGTACATTACCTATTTGACTTGAAGTAGCTAACCCCACTGGTGAAGGAATGACTTCAGGAGCAGCATTACGAGAATAAAAGGGTTTTAACAAATTTACATGGCACAACTGGGTAGGTTTCCTGCGCTCAGGAGTAGAAATAATATAATTTTGATCAGACACTTTTCGAAGCACAGTGTAGGGTCCTAAAAACTTTGCACAGAAAGGAGAATCCGGTAAAGGAAGTAAGGCTAACACCTGATCTCCTGCACTAAATATGCGAATCTCAGACTTGCGGTCAAACCAGCATTTCATCTTTTTCTGAGTTTTTTCCAATTTTTGTCTTGCCAATTCCCCAGCCAGAACTAGACGTCGACGAAAACCCTGTACATATTGAATTAGACTCTGTGGTGGCTCTTCCGGTAGAGCATTCTTACTCAATACCGCCATAGGTCCCCGTACACAATGTCCAAAGACTAACTGATTTGGACTAAATCCTAAACTCTCCTGGATAACCTCCCGTGTGGCCAATAACAACCAAGGTAACCCTTCCTCCCAGTCGCCTTTCAACTCAGTGCAATATGCCCTCAACAAAGATTTTAACGTCTGGTGAAAACGTTCTAGGGCACCCTGACTTTCTGCATGGTACGCACTGGATTTATTGTGTCTTATGCCAAGCTGCCGCAGAATCTCTTGAAACATGTTAGATGTAAAGTTTGTCCCCTGATCACTCTGAACAACTTTTGGAATTCCAAAAATAGAAATGAACTGGGACAAAGCTTTTACAACTGACCGTGTGGTGATTGACCGCAAAGGATAAGCCGCAGGATAACGAGTGCTCTGGCACATCACTGTCAATAAGTAAACACTACCAGACTTTGAAGGTGGTAAAGGTCCAACACAATCAACTAGAAGATGCTGAAAAGGCTGTTCCATAACAGGTATGGGATACAAAGGCACAGGTTTTATGGTCTGATTTGGTTTTCCAGTTAGCTGACAGGTCGAACAAGTCTTAATATACTGTCTCACATCGCTCTTAATACGAGGCCAGTAAAAATACTGCAGCAAGTGTTGGTAGGTCTTATTTACACCCAAATGGCCAGACACCCCACCATGAGCAGAATCCAATACCGAATTTCGCAAAGAAACAGGCACCACTACCTGTATAATTGGTTCAGTCAAACCTCCCTCCGTGTTAGAAGTCCACTTCCGCAGTAGTACCCCGTTTTCAATGAAGTACCCATTAACGGAACTCTCTGCTTCATCAGGAGGTAAAGCAGCATCAAACAGGGGTTTCAGAGATGAATCCTCCTTCTGAGCAGACACCCAGTCCTGACAGGGAATAGAAGGCAAAGCAAGGAGACCTGGCACTACCCTCTTAGTGGTTAACAAATCCTTCACATCACTTAGATTTGCATCCGCAGATTGTTTACGCCTTGCACGTGTGAGTGCACAAGACACAAATACCTCTGGATACTGCTGGGATATATCAGTGTCCCCAGATGGAACAGGACAAGTAGCAACAACAGGTGGAGGTCGAACATCACGCCACACACGGTCACCCGCCAGATTATTCCCCAAAATCACTGAAACTCCTTCCATTGGCAGAGAAGGACGGACTCCCATCACAACTGCTCCATTTACTAAATCAGATTGGAGAAACAGGTTATGCAGGGGTACGGACAATGTTTGCAATCCAATACCACGAATCAACACACTGTTTCCTGTACTCGACTCCTGAGAAAAAGGAAGAACAGATTGCAAAATGAATGATTCTGATGCACCAGTGTCTCTGAGGATCTTAATAGGAACCTTCTCAGTACTTCCAAGCAATGACACAAAGCCCTCTGTAATGAAGGGAGCATAACCCTCATCTCCAACACTGCAAAGTACCACTGGTTTCTCCAGATCCTGTAAAATATTAAGACAGTCAGA